GCTTGTTGTCATAGTGAACGTTCTTGTAGGGGCATTAAAAGAATGAAATGTTCGCCGTTGATTAATCTCTTTTTTGGAATGCGGCACGCATTCTACTTCCATTCAGAATCGTAGTGGCTTATTGAATGCGATGTGGCCTATACAATGACTTGGGGGCCAGCCGATGTACAAGTCAGTGTTTTATCCTCCCAGACGAATCTGGTACCAATTTACCGTCCCCGGAGGGTAGAAGGCTTGGGGCCTGGGCGAATCCGGAGCTTGAACCTTGAACCGCGCGTGTGGTATGCGTGCCACTTGCCACTACACCACTCCTTTCCATTGAATCACATAATACTGCATAATTCCCAGCAACACTAGCTTTACTGCTTTCAGCAAAATTTGTTTCAGACTTTCTAACTCCTAATAGTTAGTGCCAAGTTGTATTACTCTTGATGTATTTGTAATGAACGCGATCTCTCGCTTTTTCCTCCATCTAAAAGTTTTTGAACGAGGTTTTCCTTCAGGATGACTGTGCATTCGACGACTCGGGCGGCTGATCCGATCTCACCGGCCGAGCAGGAAGCGATTGATCAGCTTCGAGCCAGGTAGAACCGAAATTTTTCTTGAGAAGTTACAGGTCTAGTCAGATTATCACTGCATTCGAATAACTTATCCATCTGTGTAATAGAAGTTCTTTAGAACTGTTCAAATAATTTTGGCACCATTAACCCTTTGCTGACAGTAGCGCAGTTTCCAAGCGTTATCGTGTCGAACTGGTGCCGAGATTTATGCTCAGAGGAACAAACTACCCCGGGAAAATTTTATGTCTAAATCTACCACTGGGGACAAATCTTACCAGAATTTCCGACTTGGGGTAATCGAACAAATCGGGTGCAATGGGCAAAAAGTGTCATAAGCTCAAGTTCAAAGAGTTTGAGATTGTTTTCTTCTTATTCTTCTCTTTCTTCTTCTTAAATTTTTCAGTGCTTTTCCATTCTTTTGTACTTAATAATCTCATATTATGATTAGGTTGTCCCATAGTTTACGGAACCTTCTATTCTCTAATACCATTTACTATGTCTTACAATTATTTTCTCAACATAGTGTACTCCGCTCCCACCCAGGACACGTCTTCCCGCTGGAGAGAATTCTCTAGAAATACGACCCCCCGATTTCGTTCTGCTATGACCCCCCCCTTTATCGAAATTTCACAAAAATGTTCCCGTTTTTCCCCAAAATTTTGCCGTCAAGCGAGGGACGGGATATCAGCGAGGGAGGGGTATGCAACTCAGAGATAAATGGAGCGGAAAACGGCGCAAGAGGTCCAACACCGGAAAACGTGACACTAAAAAGGCCGTATTGACCGCCCTCCTTGAAAAATTCCTTCGCCAACGATGGGCGGGTAGCACTAGTGAAACAGAAAAAAGTCAACATCAAAATAAATTTCTCGCATTATACATCGCCGCCGCTCCTTCCATGGCGGCGACTACGACCCCTCCTCCTGCACCGGGATTCCCGCAACGTAGGACGTACCCTGGCTCCACCAATCATCTGCCAGCATAGAATCAGCATGTGAAAAATGTATTTCAGCGGCCTTTCTCGGAGAGTTCTGATCAGTTGAGTCTCTTGGTTCCCCCCTAATATTATTTCTGAAAAAAAGTGAGCTATAGAGCAAGATTTGTGGTAATTCTCTGCGGCGCAGAGCCAAAAAATAAGCAGGGAATAAATGAGATGACTAGCTGGTCGGAACTGTGAAAGCTCACGCCCCCCCCAAAAATCTGCGAGACATATGCATACCGAAATAAGTAGAATTTTTCCTAGAATTCCACAGCAGCAGGTGTAAAATATTGCTGAAGTCATGATACAACCCTATGAGAGAGAAAATATATTCTTTGTTGGCTTTCTAATGGTGTCGAAATGAGGAGGTAATAATGCGTTACTGTAGGCTCAACGAATCACTGAAGAAGATTCCCGAAGATCTTGACACCGATTTGAACCTGTTGCGATGGATTCGTGGATATCAGGGAGACATCGAAAAAATATGCACGGTAAATTTACCCTTCACACTCGGATTTACTATTAGTCAATTAGTTTTCTATTAGTAATAGTATTTACAACCCACGCTCATTTCCTCCACATACCCTGGAAATCCCTAAGATGTGGTAGGCGTGGCTGCGTACTCCAACCAGACAAGGCGGCGGCTGTGCTGATGGGATATTTTTATTTTGAAACTTTGTGGTAACGTCTCTGTCCAATATAGAACAAGATGACAGTTTTCTCAGATTGAAATATCCCAAGAGTAACCCATTCTATGCCATTGACTCCATAATGCACGCTACCCTCTTGGGGATAAGGAATGTATGTCTCATGAATACTAACTCCTCATACCTATTAGTACAGTGGTGAGTCATAGCCAGCAGTTTTCGGTTTCAAATGGACTATAACTGTTGCTTTGTGACTCTCACTAAGTACACATTAAATCCAGTACGAGAAACCGAAATTCCCATCCAAAATACACTGGTGGTAGACGCTGACCCAAAGCGCCCTTGAGTCCTGCCTTCCTCACATACCCGCAGACGCAGGAAGAAGTTTCATGTGTGTTCAACTTGGAGAAGTGAACGTGCGAGCAGTGACACCATTGAAGAACGCGCGCAAAAATTATTCTTCATTGGGCGCTATGTGGCTCGAGAGGGCCTACTTTTTCAGTGAAGATCAGCCATGTTGCAATCGACGCGACCAAAGCCGACGTTTTTCATAGGTGGGAGGATACCGTGTGATAAACCGTTATGGTCTATGTGATACAGGCCACAATAAAAAATGTCACGTTGTCTGTTCCTAGCCCACACAACGAGACATGTTCTGATGTCACGCTGTGTGGTGTAGGAAGTGCAGTAAGAGGCTGACATGTTTTGACACTAACTAGTGCACATACCGAACATGTCATACCTGTCTTGATAAGAGGGTGCAGACAATAGTGCCCCCCCTCAAGGCATTTATTGCACGCAGCACCCTTTCTCACGAAAAATCTTCTGGAGGATCGGAAAAATAACTCCTAGCGAAGCTCACTGGTCTCATTCGCGGTTGTTGCCTGTCAGACAGAAATGTGACCCACCTATCACAGGAAATTCTCATGGATGAAACCCTCTCTTAGATATTATTGCCTCGTTCATACACTTAGAGATCCGATCGAACGATAGCTCTATGTAGGAGTAGTAGAGTGCGTGGAGCATGCTAAACAGAAATGATTACTGCTTTGTAACTGACACAGTTTCGGGGCGCTTATGTGCGCTCCATATGCCGAAGAAGTGGTGGGCGTGGCTGCCTTCTTCACCCGAATGTGGCGGCATTTCCGATTCTGGTGGATTGTTGCTATCTCGGAGCAATTGTCATGACACTGTCAAGCGAACGACAGGATGAAGGCTGTCTTGAATAGAATTATCCGACGAAGAGCCAGTCTTACGTCGTGTTCAAATAAAGCACGCACCAGCACCCTCCCCGTATCCGGGATCTATAGTGTATTGGAAGAAGGACCACACCATAGCCTCTTCTCCAAGCAAGGCATAGGCTTAGATCGCGATGGCCGGAGTCGCCGCGGATTAGATAGTCTCTACGCGACTCCAACCGTTTGCGTTCTAAGCAGGGTACAGCATCGTTGTGTGAAACACATAGGGGGTCGTACTTTTTCTCTGGGGAGGGGGGTCGTATTTGGTCGTTGGGAGAGAGGGGGTCGTATGTGCCTTTGAGAGAAATTTGTCGCGTTGGTTTTCCGGTTGTTGACTTTTTGCGTGATTTTTCCTGTTTCATGTGCACTATATACCCCCCCCCCCTCTCGACGAAAAATTTTTTGGGTGAAAAAAATTGGGAAATGGGGGAATTTGTAGGTAGGTGTTGGGGAAGGGGGGTCGTACTGACACCCTCTCTCGGAGGGGGGGGTCGAATTTACACCACCACCTCACACATCACGATGCTGTACCCTGGTTCTAAGCCTGACCCTTGCCTAGACGTACAGTCGCAAAGGCGCTGTGGAGTGGCCACGTTTAAATACGTTACCATTTTTTAGTTTAGTCTCAAGTTTAGTAAGCTGATGTTGTAATAGATCCTTAACTGATTTGCGTTTAGAATTTCGTCCATTATGTTTGCTCCCGTAAAGCCGCAGGATTTCTTGGAAGTGACCTCCCGGAAAGGTAAGTAAGTATTTCCGCCTAATCTCTTCCAGATATATTACCATCTTTAATAATATATTTAATTTTGGATTACGGACGACGATGGATGATTCACGGGTACACTAATCGCCAGATCAAAAGGATACGTTGACCAATCCCTTTGTGGATGCGGCACGAATTCTACTTCCATTCCAGATCGTAGTGGCTTATTGAATGCGATGTGGCCTATACAATGACTTGCGGAGGCCAGCCGATGTATAAGTCAGTGTTTTATCCTCCCAGACGAATCTGGTACCAGCTTAACCGTTGACGAGCTTGCTCCAGCTTCACAAGAGTTCACATGTTTCACCAGTGTGAGACTTGTAAACCAGAACCACTGAGGCAACGAAAGTGCCAAAATCTCCCCCCCCCCCCCCCCGTGTCGCCAAACAACGCCGGCTTAGTTGGCCTGAGCGAGAGTCGATCCGCGATCAGAACAAGGGACTGCGCGAGTGGTAAGCGCGCCACTTGTCACTACACCACTTTCTCCTCACGCGAGATTACTCCACATACACTCGAAATCCCTGAGATGAGGTAGGCGTGGCTGCGTACTTCAACTAAACGTCGTGGTGGCTGTGCTCTTGGAAAGACATTTTCATTTTGACCCAAGATGTCACGTCTTTTTTTCAACAAAGAACAAGATGGCGGTTGTCTGAAATTTAAATATCCCACGAGTAACCAGTTCCGTGCCATGTTCGAATGCCACGCCTACCCCGTCTCAGGGATAAAGAGTATATTTCGGTTCACTTTGTGACCAGGGCAACCCAACGGCGACAAGGGATTTTGGCGCTGTTCGGCTATAGGGGGGGGAAACACTTTGAGCTTTTGCTAGTTTTTTTTTTTGCTAGTTCATGTTGACTGGCAGTTCCAAAAGTGTAGTAATACTTGAGTTCTTGTGAAGCTTTGGTTACAGGAATTCACAAGTTTTCAGAAAATAGCCTGTACAAGTTTGGCTGATTTCCATTCAATGCCTCCCCCCCTAATTTTTGGTCGTTGAAGGCAACAAATACCGGTGACCCGAATATCACCCCTTCAAGAAGACTATCCAACTCCCTCTATTTTGCTACCTCACCATCCCTTCAACTTCCCAAGAAAAACCTGTTGAATGAAGTGGTGATCAGTTCCCCAGGATCACTAAAACTGCCCCCTTTCACGAATCTCATAAAGGACATCCCGTGAGAAGCCAGATGGATCCTCTCCCCCTCTTACAGCACAGAAACTCCCTGAACCAACACCTAGTTGAGGATTTTTCAATCAGCCTGTTCACGGTACTCAATCAGAATTCTTAATCACTGTGACGCACAGTTGTCAAACAGTTCAACTACCCCACAAGAGCACTGTTTTAAACTGTTGGTGGAAACCCTACTTACCACCATCACTTCTTTTCTTTATTCCCTTTTGAGAGGCGGACTGAGTTCAGCGGCAAGTGGCCTGCCTACCGTGCGCACAGTGCGAAGGTTGTCTCCCAGATGGGCTCCCGCTAGAGCCAACAAAGCCTTCCATACCTGTGGGAACTGCAAAGTGGTAACAGACCGAACTGGAAGCATTAAAAGCAGGGTACTCTCACCTCCCTTTCTCTTTGTTGACCAAACCTGTTTCTAATTTTTGAACGTGTGAGCTCGTGAGCAGGAGGAGTGTAGTGACAAGTGGCCTCCGCGTCACGCATCGCCACGATCTGGGTTCCCAGGTCGACACCCGCCCAGGCCAACCAAGCCTTCTACCCCCGGGACGGTAAATTGGTACCAGATTCGTCTGGGAGGATAAAACACTGACTTGTACATCGGCTGGCCCCGCAAGTCATTGTATAGGCCACATCGCATTCAATAAGCCACTACGATTCTGAATGGAAGTAGAATGCGTGCCGCATCCCACAAGGGATTGATCAACGGCGAAGACTTTATCCTTTTTATCCTTTATTTGAGCTCGATGGTATCAGCTTTTTAATTTTTCCAAAAAGTTCACTAGAAAAATGAGTCACAGTAATAACTGTGGCTTGCTAACGCCTACAGACAATCACTTTCCTCATACTTTCCTTTTTTCAAACACGTCTTCAATAATGCTCGAATCCGTCTCCAGCCAATTTTTAGGTACTTCGAGATGCCTCATATTAAACCATTTCTTCCATTCATTGCATCGTCTCGTCTAGGCGACTCTGTGTGGTCCGAAGAACACAACGCCTTCATGTTCGTAGAAAGAGCATGGGCTCAGCCAAAAGAGGTACGCTGAACACAACTGACTGCTGCATAGTGCAGCTCCTTCGATCAGTATGTAGGAAACTGAGAAGTATTCCATAAACTGGTAGTTAATCAGTTATCACAAGAATGTCATAAAAAGTAAGGGTAAAAGTCATGACCCCAACCAGGACCCGAACCCGTACCTCCCGCTTTCTGAGTCAGTGCGCTATCCGTTACGCACTTGGCCGGAGAGTGAAATGACGTCAGTACCTTATTGAGAAACTTCAGAAGCTTATTTGGGAAGTATTTTTTTGTGCAGAAATATCTCTCACAGACTCCCTCATGAGATCGGTGTACGTTGGTGTGCGTATGTGCGCACTAATAATCCACAGTACGCTTCACTACCTACAGCTTTTATCAGTTTCCTTGGGAAAGACCGCGAAAATATGAAAGAACTGAGCTCGCACTGCGTTCATTTAGATTCCTCATTTTGCTGCTTATTTGTTTGAATGAAAATCCAACGCTCGTCGTGTGGGTGGAGCTGGGTCATTGACTCTGCCTGAATGACTTGGCTGACCAGCGCGCCTCCTCCCTTCACCGTCTTAGAAAAGAGGGAATACGGATTGTGACTTTAACTTGCAGTTGGGGGGAGGCAATAAATGATACTCAGCGAAGCTTGGGCTACCTTGTGAAGACCTGTCAATTCCGGTTATTAAATGCCTCACTCAAACCATCAAGCAGCCTCACAAGAGTTTACAGGTTCAACCGAGATGAGACCGTTAATGAACACAAACTGGCAAGAAAGAGCCAGCGAAAGTGCGAAATGCACCCTCCCAGTCGAGCAACACCGAGGGGCGCATCAGAGAGGGAAGCTTTGTTTTGGGCCCGACTCCGCCCATACGGGCTATATGGATTGTGACTTTAACTTACAGACCTATAGTTCAGGTCACTCATACTGTTAGAAAGTGTGAAAATAGTGAGAGTGAGAGTGAATCTCCCATCTCGAATGTCTATTTTCTTCGTATTTTGTTTATTTGTCCACCTAGAACAGAGATTTTTCATATTTCTGATTTTTGCAGTTTATCAAAACTTTCAAAGCCAGCGATTACTTGATTCACTGTTTTGGCTATTCGGAGTTGTTACTGCAACTTATTTTAGAGTGAGTCCTTGTTTCTCAGCTTGTTTACAAATTTAACTAGGACGTTAATAAATAAAAGTATAGGACCCCGAGAAAGATTCGATTATAACAGCGGTGGAGGGCAGGAGATCCTGTGACGGCGAGACTCCATTGCAAGTAGTGCCACGCGCGTAGCATTCGCAGCAAAACCTAGTTGTATCACAGTGTGTTGTGTAGGTTCGCTAGGAAATCCTAGCTAGTTTCTGCGAGTCACTGGGATCTCCTGGCTTGTACCCTCAAAGACAGTAGCACGAGACAATTAATGATTGGCTCCTCGGCCCAGTCTCTTGTCTTTTCTATCGTTTTTCCCTCCCATTTTCCTGTTTTTGCCGTAAGAGTAGCAATCGACAGCTCACCTCTTGTTAGTAGAGTAGTGAGGGGGCTCGAAAGCACTCCTACCCACTCAGAAGCAACATGCACCGTTCCAGATTGTGGGTCGGCGATGGTGCTCTTCTGAGTCACATATTTTCCCACGCTCAAAGACAGCGTATCACCCATTACAGGACCACGGCTGGGAAAACGATGAATCCCCGCCATAGGGGTTGCTTATGCGGCCCGGCTGCTGGATAGATGAGGAGGAGTTTATACTTGCTTCTGAGAGAATGTTTTAGTGTTGACTTTATTGGTTTCTGCCGTTCCTGGCGCTATTCCCCTCCCCTCCCCTCCCTCCGTCCCCCCCATCGCCGTCAACAGGAGTTTTGGGGAAAAGTCTCAAGTTTCTGGAAAATTTAATGCAAGGTAGGTAGACAGTGCGAAGAATGTTAGGAAAATAGTACAGTAGGATGCGGGCTTGTGAAGGGAGTAGTACCAGAGAATGGAACTGAAGGCGCGGTCCATATTCTGCCGAAATTTCCTAGAAGACAGGCGGCGTGTGTTTGAAGTGTTTTTATCGGACGTTGTTTCCGCTAAGGCGCCTATGCCGAAATGTTAGCCAGTGAAAGCTAACTATCGTTTTCCTACTTTCTTCTTCATTGTGAATAATCGCCTAATATTCTTCCAGGCGTGAACGAAAACAGTCCAAGGACCGTGGTCCAGTGCAGTTTATTGTAATTTTCGATCTCGCCACCGTCAATATCACAGATTATGTAAATCCGATGAGTGGATACATGAAACTGTGGCAGTTACGGTCCGACCTTTGGCAAGAATGGTGAGCTTTTACTTGTTCAGAAGTACATATAAAGGACTACTGGTGCCATCATCCCCATAGTTAGGTCTCACCGAAGTCGCCACATCTCTCTAGCGTCTAATGTAGACCCCATTTTGAATCGAATATAAATTGGTAGCAGCGTGGTAGAGCAGGGGGACACGACTCGCGCCCCCCGCTCGCCCCCATCCTCCCTCCGGCCTCGCTCCCTGAACCGAGGCTTTAAGGGCTACGCTCAATGGGGAGTGTCTTTCCTTTGAGTCCTGGAGAGACTACGTGTGTCTGCACATTGCCCCGGGAAAGACTATCCCAGCGTACACCCCTCTGCCGAAATAATTTTCCTCTGTGTTACGAAAACCTCCTCTCCACGGCTTATCAGCCTGCTGTGGAAAATCGCTCGGCTATTCCTCACCGAACAAAATTTACGAAAAATGGAAATTGTCAGTGATAACAACATGACCAAATATATGAACAGTAAATTCATTCCAAAAGAGTATGGAGGTAAGCGTTAGAGATGCATTTTGTCTCTGTCATTCAGTTATTTCGAGATTTTTCTATGGCATTACGGTCCTTTCGAAGGAATGAATTTTTCTACAAAACATCATGACCGGAGCTTTTTCCGCAATTCAATCGCGGGAATAATACTAACAATAAGAGGCGTGGGGTACATCACTGGAATGTCCGCGACGGTGCAATGATAATTTCATAATATAATAGCAGAGCCGGCCCTTAAAAGGGAGCTCTCAGTACTGTCCCCTGTTATTGCAATCTGCCATCCCCCAGTTCAGCAGAACCGCCTCTTACCCAAATTTGAACGCTCGTCAACAATCAAAAAAAGTGCTTCCAACGCCATTTACTACTCCCTCCCCCCTCACAGGCGATCAAACGTGACCCTGCTGATAAAATTCCTACAATGATGATGAGCTAGTGTAAGACCTAACGTAGACGTATCTCACGACTAACAATCCAATGAATTTAGGCGATTATGTAAATACAGACCTGCCGGGTGATGAGTCCGGAGTCAGCATTCGACGCAAAATCACTGCCGCTGATCATTATCAGGCCTATCAGCACTATGTGGTACGGGGCGTACAACGACCGAAACCCGCCAAGAAGGTTAGTTTGTTCAGTTTATGACGCGTTTAAAAAACTCCTCACTTTGACTGTGTGGCCAAAACGACGCAGTTCGGCTTGGTAGAGGCACCATATGGTGCTCAGCAAGATCTTGTCAGGTCACCTTGTGATAACCGGTAAGTTCCTGTGACCAAAGCGCATAACATGTACCATTTCGCAGCTTCACAAGTGTATACAGGTCTGACCAGAAAGAGATTTGTTAGTCAACATGGAGTAACACAAGGAAATAGCATGAGTGCAAATTGCACCCCTGCCCCACCCCTTCCTAAGTCGAACAGCGCTGGCCAGTAGTTCTATGAACATCCATACTCCTCAGTGGCATATGGGTTCCTTGCCAGTGAAAAGGAGTCCTCCGTCCTCCTAGGTTCTGTCCGTTCCTCTACCGGTATTTGGCCCCAAAAGTCTCGTCCATACACTCAATGATACCGCAGCTTTCCGCGATAATAGTACGGGTGGAGACTTGTGGCCACAATGCTTCCTCTTTGGAGCGCCTTTACAGGGGGGGGGGCAAAAAAAAGTCTTTTCGACCGTTCACATATACAAAGTTTTCGCAGTTTAGAGGAAAGAGATACCAGGGCGGAAGATACCCAAGATGTTCCTCGATAAGCAGGAGCTGGCCCTCGCCCATCACCTTCATGTACACCAAAATATGAGGTCATCTCCAGTCGCAGCCTGACTGGAGAAGACCTTTGGAATTCATGTCACCTCCAAACAGCTGCGAAACTTCTAGTGTGGAGTCACCCATGGGTAGCTACCTGGAGACCAGTACTCTCAATCTGGAAGACCTCCAACATCGAGCAGCTCCGACAACGTCGCTACGGTCTAGGACATCATCTTCACGGCAGTCGCCAAGGCGCGGGTTGATGGTATGGACCGGACGCACCTGGAATGGAAAGACCAATATTTTCTTCGTGGACCCCGGGCTGAAGCTGAGCGCTGGCGGTTACATCGACCAACTCAAGAAGAATATCTTCCCACATGTCGTCGCCCGTTAACACTTCTTGGAAACTTTGTACTGCTACAGCATTGGGTGCCACCACGTGGAATCGAAGGGCGTTGGAGAAACTCTCGCCTACCTGGAATGGAAGGGGGCTGAGTACCTAAAAAAGATGGAATATCTAAGTAGCCAGTCGGATCGCCCGCTGACGGCCGGTATCTGACGCCGAGCTCTCCTCCTTTTTTTTTAGCTCGGCTTCGCCGAGCTGGCCTGGCTTCGCCAGGCGCACATCATAACGGGATGGATCTCAGAAATAGATAGGAAGTACAGAATATCAATATGTGTTGCACAGTAGATGAACAAATTCCGTTTTTATTACCTGCATCACAACAGCAACGATGGGCAATTGACTTGTCATTAACATGCAATCCACCTGCTATGGTTGCATGAATGGCTGCAGATGACAATATGTTCATTGAATATCTTACAAACTACTTCGTTATACATTCGTTCCTCATCAAAGTGTTTTAAAAGTAAAAGCAAAAAAAAAAATATTTGCGCGTGCTCAGCCCCATCTGAGCATGCCGCAAGGAAGGAACAGAAAGGGGGGGCACTGGCGTACCCCCCCCCCCCCCCCCCCCCCATCGGCCCCACCCCACCCTGCCCCCGCACGAGCACACGTCCAGCTGCCACGGCAGCAGCTCGTGCAATGGCTCGGAGTGTACCGAATGGTTGTCTTATATAGTGGAGGATGCTATCAAAATCAAAACATTGCATTGATACATCTGCACCAACCGATTTCCGGTTTGCCTAGCGGTCGTTTTTCCCTCCAGTAAATCGAACCCGTGAAACATTTTGCGGACGGACAGACATACATACTTACATACATACATACATACATACATACTACATACATACAAACCGACACACAAAGTTACTGGTTTATAAAATGAAGGGATATCACCTGACCTGAATCCCTTCAATTACCCGGTCGGGCGGAGTTCAATAGGGTGGTCTACGGTGGCGGAGAAATCGACTATCTCGCTGATCTCAGGGACCACATCGCGGTTGCGTGCCAGAATCTCTCGATGGCGCTCCTCCAGAAGGCTGTGGCGGAGTGTCATAATAGTATTTAATATGCTCTTCAATATGGTGGTAGAAATGTCCGATCAATTTATAAAGTGTAACTTATAGCGCCTCGAAAGTCAATGAAGCAAAGTGACTTTTTTGCCCCCCTGTATACAGGTCTGACCAGAAAGAGATTTGTTAGTCAACATGGAGTAACACAAGGAAATAGCATGAGTGCAAATTGCACCCCTGCCCCACCCCTTCCTAAGTCGAACAGCGCTGGCCAGTAGTTCTATGAACATCCATACTCCTCAGTGGCATATGGGTTCCTTGCCAGTGAAAGAGGAGTCCTCCGTCCTCCTAGGTTCTGTCCATTCCTCTACCGGTATTTGGCCCCAAAAGTCTCGTCCATACACTCAATGATACCGCAGCTTTCCGCGATAATAGTACGGGTGGAGACTTGTGGCCACAATGCTTCCTCTTTGGAGCGCCTTTTCTTCTCATACGGTGAAGAGAACGAGGAAAGCACCATGGACATGGGTCTTTGCCCATACGATCATCGATCTCTGTGCTATGCCCCGAATAGAAAGTTACCATTCGAAAGGAATAAAGCCCAAGTTCTTGAAGACGGGTTAGAAGGTGCATTATGCCCATGACTAGCATTTTATCACAAGAATTCTGAGTTAAGGGCAAAAGTTTTGACTACAGGTGGGACTTGAATACGCACCTCACACCCACTGGGCGTATGATGAATAAACAACTTCAAAAAATGACCTTTCTGTCGAAGTAAATCCTATGAATAATTATAATGAAATAACGTTTAGGATCTATTGCCCGGAGAACACTTCACCATTCCAATTATAGTGCCAGATGGAAAAAGCCTTTTATGGGATTTCCTGACGAGCGGCGAAATCGAGTTCTTCATCTATAAGGACAAGGTAAGATAGCTTACTAGACACTAGCGTATTAATAGCATGAGGAACCATAGCATGATTTCATCCCTTAATGCCCAACTGTTCAAAAAACCGGACAAATTCATATCATTTTTTTCGATAAAGGTGATTCGATCTCTGAACAGATATACTGGCTGCAAAATGGGGTTGCCAGGGGTGCTTTTGGCCTGGCGCCAACCTGTTCTCCATTCAACTGTTGAAGCGAGTACAACAACTGGAGGAAAGCAGGCTGGCGCCGCGAAAAACCAAGCCCCCCCCCCTGATGCGCCTCATCATCCGCAACGAAGAAGGGTATGCATCACCCATTCAAAATAAAATAATTGGCGCTGAGGCGAAAACACCTCAGGTGGTCCATTTCACTGAAAACTCGTTCCCGCAGTAGCGACGATGAATGTCGCGTTCGT